TCTGGGCTCTCCAGTTCAGGAGAGACAGGGAACTGCTGGAGAGAGTCCACGGGAGGGTGACAAAGATGACTGGGGAACTGGAGCATCTCCCTGATGAGGAAAGGCTGAGAGAGCTAGGACTGTTCAGCCTGGAGAGGAGAAGGCTGAGGGGGAGACCTTATCAATGTACAGAAGTATCTAAAGGGTAGGTGCAAGGAAGATTGAGACAGGCTCTTCCCAGTAGTGCCAGGGACAGGATGAGGGGCAACAGGCACAAGTTGGAACATGGGAAGTGCCACTGAAATATGAGGAGAAACTTCTTGACTGTGAGGGTGACAGAGCCCTGGGACAGGCTGCCCAGGGGGGCTGTGGAATCTCCATCTCTGGAGACATTCCTGTCGTAAGCTGGTACTGGGGAAGAAAAAAAAACAGTTTCACACAATTCCAAACCCACCTGGATGCAGCCCTGGGTAAAGGGCTCCAGGTGATCCTACTTCAGTGGGAGAGCTGGACCAGATTACCCCCCAAAAGGCAAAGGGACTTGCTGAATCATCCCTGAACAGGACAATGTGGGACTGCAAATCTTCACATTTGCTAAGGGATTGAATTCTGGTGTCTCCTAGCTCAGCATAACATGATGACAGGAGGTGATGGGCATGAATTGAAACTCATCAAATTCTGTCTGAAGACCAGGAAACACTTCTGCATTGTGAGGGACTGAGTGTGGCACAGGTTGTCCAGAGAGGTGGTGGAGTCTTTATCCCTGAGGATACTCAAAAGCCATCTGGATGTGGTCCTGGGCAATCAGCTCTGGTGGCCCTGCTTAAGCAGGGGAGTTGGACCAGATGATCCTGAGAGGCCACTTCCAGCCTCCACCAGTTTGTGATTCCGTGATGGTCTCATCAGCAGGTCTAACCAGTAGATCAGCAAAGGGTTTGACTTAAGGAGCTGGTGTTGGGGCAGCAGGGCCAGGCAGCACAGGGCAGAAGGAAAGCAACTCCCTCTGCACGATGACCAAGCAGGAGATTTTCCTGCCTCGCACACCTGAGAGTGCAACACATGGACGGTACATCCGTGCAACACCTGTGGGCCTGGTGCTGTGTTCCCATGTGCCGGCAGAAGAAGGAAAAGCCCAGCTTCAGGAGCAGGGAAAACTCCCCAAACCATAACCAGAGCCTTCAGGGCAGTGTAATTACTGAGATTTCCTTCCAGCCTTGTCACATGCTATTCTGGTTAGGAAAGTTATTTCTCCAAGGCAGAATTTCTGCCTAGGATGGAGCTTTGCATGCAGCAAACCACTGCTTCCTTCACAAAACCAAAGCCCACGAAAAGAGGCCCAGGGAGTGCAGGGGAACCAGGGAGTGGAAGAAATAATAATAATAATAATAAGAATAAGGAAATCCAGTATTCAAACAGTCTGCAAGATTACAGTCTGTGAATGGTGGCTGGCAAAGCCTGCTCAATGCCTGCTGTGGTAGGAACCAGAGGATCTGAAATCTTTAACTACTTCTCATCCAAGGACGATGGATAAGATGGATCTGAGGATAATTTAGAGCCAGAACCTTCTCAGCAGTCTCATCCCTGAGGAAACAATGGAATCCTAGGTTGCATAAAGAAGAGTGTGGCCAGTAGGTTGAGGGAGTCATTCTCCCCCTCTGCTCTGCCCTGGTGAGGCCACATCTGGAGAACTGTGTCCAGTTCTGGGCTCTCCAGTTCAGGAGAGACAGGGAACTGCTGGAGAGAGTCCAAGGGAGGGTGACAAAGATGACTGGGGAACTGGAGCATCTCCCTGATGAGGAAAGGCTGAGAGAGCTAGGACTGTTCAGCCTGGAGAGGAGAAGGCTGAGGGGGAGACCTTATCAATGTACAGAAGTATCTAAAGGGTAGGTGCAAGGAAGATTGAGACAGGCTCTTCCCAGTAGTGCCAGGGACAGGATGAGGGGCAACAGGCACAAGTTGGAACATGGGAAGTGCCACTGAAATATGAGGAGAAACTTCTTGACTGTGAGGGTGACAGAGCCCTGGGACAGGCTGCCCAGGGGGGCTGTGGAATCTCCATCTCTGGAGACATTCCTGTCGTAAGCTGGTACTGGGGAAGAAAAAAAAACAGTTTCACACAATTCCAAACCCACCTGGATGCAGCCCTGGGTAAAGGGCTCCAGGTGATCCTACTTCAGTGGGAGAGCTGGACCAGATGATCTCTAGAGGTCCCTTCCAGCTCCAGCAGTTCTGGGATTCTGTGATTCAGTGAAACGCCAGCGCGAGGCCAGTCTGTGCTGCTGGGGGAGATGATGCTGATCCCAAGTTCTAATTAGGGAGATGACATAAGGTCAAATGTTCCTGAGCAGGATGTCTGCTCAGCTGCTGTCCTGCCTCTGCGCAGAGTCGGAAAAGGGTGGGGGAGGCTGCTCCAGGCACAGCAGGGACTGGGAAGGAAAAGGAGAGACGTGGCAAATGTCCAGCAGAAGAAACTCAAAGGCTCAGACACCACCACGGGCAAGGAGGGCACTGAACAAGGAACAGTGAGACAGCTCAGGCACCACTCCTGCCTGACACAGGAGAACTGCACCCCAAGGGCTGTCAGTGGGGCTACTCAAGGTCTTCCGAGTCGCAGCAGATGCAGGGTTTGAGGAGGAGCTTTATCTCACTTGGCTATTTCCCCATCCTGGAGTCAGTATCAGCCTTCAGTAAACAGACCCAACGCTGGAATGTCCAATATGTTTGGCAGGTGCCCAATAGGAAGGTCACATCTGCTGGTTTTCATGGCTCTGTCCTGTCTCTGGGACTTTCAGGTCACTGGAGCCCAAAGCACAGCCATGATCAGGACCACCAGGAGCTCTTTGGCCTCACAAAAAGATTTGAAAAGCCAGGATATTAGGAATATTATTTTCACAAGACAAAAAAAAAAAAAAGAGATTTTCTCCCAGCAGTTAGTGAAGCAAACTATGCAGGCGTGGGATGAAGCTGGGAGAACATAATTTAGTAGCTCCAGTGGAAACATGAGAGGGAGGCAAAGTATAAATCTGCTCTGACGAGTGCCAGGCAAGGATGGGTCTCCATGACTGACTATAGCTGAGGTGAGAAACCCTGTCCAGACCATTCAGCCACTAAATGGATCACAGCCTGGAGTTATTCACACCTGGAGTGGAGAGAAACACTTGGCCATTGATATTCCAAGAGAAGACACTGTGTTTGCACAGGAGTTCTAAGCACTGATCACTAAAGAAGAAGGAAGGTCTCTCCAGTTACTGCAGCCAGGGATGTCCCACCCTGGCAGATGGTTGGGGGGAGCTGCCACACTGGCTTTCTTCAATGATCTGCCCTTCCTCTCTGGATCAAGGTGAGGACACCATCCCTAGGTGCCCAGGAATCACTCCCTCCCTTCATGGTGTACTCAAGAACACTGTAAGACTTTGGCAGTTCCTGTGTGTGCCTGCTAAGGAACGTCTGGACCAAGAACCTGGCCACAGAGCTGCATTTTCTCCCCATCAAGCTCTGACTGAAGAGGTGGTGGCTGCACCACGACAGGCTTTAGCAGCTACAGACAAACCAGATCTATCTGGCCAGGGACATCTCAAAGCAGCAGGGCCACAGCCCCTTCTCTGTGACAGCTTCAAGTCCATGGCTGAGATGTGGGGCTGGAGGAGGTGATCAGAGGCCATAAGGGAAAACTCTTCTGCCAGTGCAGGTGCTGAGTGAAGGCTCCCAAAGCCCAGGGCTCCTTGCCGTGGCTCCACCTGCTCCCACTGGCATATGCAGGCAGACTCCAGAGAAGGGCTGAGCAATGCAGCCACAACACCTTCTCCTCCTCCATCCTTGGTTCCTTCAACAGAGAGAAGACAAGGGGCCTGGATGCAGAACGTCTCCCCTCTGCCAGTTCTTTCAGCACCTTTGGGTGTACAAGGAGGCAGCATGAATAGTAAGTCCAGGTCATGGCACCAGCTGGGGCCAGAGGAGGGAGCAGACCTGTATTTTTGTGTGTCAATGTCTACACAACAACCAAGCATCCCATGGGAGGTGGAATTCCTGGGCACAGAGACACTCTCCTCAAGACAGGGAATAAAGACTCACATCAAAATCAGCACACAATTGGACTGGGACATGGAAAAGCTGAGCACTGCTGCACTGGGGAGGCAGCATCCAAACCAGGAAACCTCTCCTAGAAGAAACATCTGCAGGGAAGAAGTGGCTTTAAATGACTCCTATCTGAGATGACTTTAAAAGCTCCTTCATTATCAGAAAGTGCAAAAGATGAGGCACCACACGAGGGTCTCACCTGGGCCCTGAGAAACAGGGGGACACACTGACCATGGGAGGTCACAGGAGCAGCCCTGAGCTGATGGAGCTGGGGAAGGAGCTGGGATGCTGTGCTCTTCTGGAGCCCCACAGCTGGAGCTGGGCTTGATCTGCCCCACACTGGGAGTGGGTGCAGCAGCCCTGAGCCTTGGCAGAGATGACTGCCAGCCTGTGTGCCCTGCTCTCCAGTGCTGCTGTCAGCTCAGGGCTCAGTCCTGCCTAAAGCAATATTTGCTTTTGAGAAAAGTGTAGATGAGACCCCACAGGCACAGATGTGCAGCAGGCTGTGTTGCTGAGCTCCAGCCTCACACCTCCCGTGGTGCTGCAGTGGGGGGAATCCAAGCCCACCCAAAAGGAAAAGAAGAAACATCAAATGAACCCAGCAAACCTGGCTGCACAGTTTTCAGTCTATGACTCTACCAGCTGATCCTTCATCTTGGTTTTGATCAGCTGGCTTGAAGGCTGAAGCATAAAAAGTCCAAAAGCCCCTTTGGCACCTCAGCACTGTGGCCTTGAGCCACCCAAAGGGCTGATGTGACATGGCCCTAAGAACTCAGAGGCAGGATCACATCATCATATCATCATCACATCATCACACCACCAGCCTGGTCAGGAGGTCACTAAGTGCTGGTTCCATGAGGCACTGATGGGTTTGACCTTTTGCTTCAAAACTAATCATTAGCCTAGTGCCCAAGCACAGGGTAGGGGAAGGGGAAAGTTGAAAAATAATGTTTAAAAATACTTGCCTTTAAAAATTCAGCCCCTCCCATGTTACCAAAATGTAATTAAAGGGATCCAGCAGCTGCTGGCTCCAAGATGCCTTTGGTCCCAAAGCATTAGGATTCCATGTTTTCCTGACCAAGTCTTTCAAGCCCTTTTGCTGTCTTTAGTCCTGCTTCTCTCCTTTGTGTTTCCAAGGGTAGATGAGCTCTCCAAGGAACAGCTTCTTGCAGAGAGATGTCCAGGAATCCTTGGGGTAGCAGCTGTAGGTTGGCAGCCTGTACATCTGCACCACACTGCCATAGGAGAGGGGGTTGATCTAGGAGGAGAAGAGGGAGAGCAGCAGTGAAAAGGGGTTATAGTAAGAAACACAGACATTGACCTCTGGTAGAACATCAACACTGCTACTCACAAAGCCCCAGAATCCCTCTCTGGCTACCTAAAGCTGTTCAGTCTTCTACAACATCCTGGAACATTAACAAATCAAGCCTGATAAGAATCCCAGACTGAGTTGTGTTGGAAGGGACCTTCAAGATCACTCAGTTCCAACCTCCTGCATGGGCAGGGACACCTCCCACCAGCCCAGGTTGCTCCAAGCCCCATCCAACCTGCCCTTCAACACTGCCAGGGATGGGGCAGCAACAGCTTCCTTGGGCAACCTGGGCCAGGCTCTCACCACCCTCACACCCAAGAATTTCCTCCTCATGTCCAACCTCAATCTCCCCTCTGCCAGTTTTAATCCATTCCCCTTGTCCTCTCCCTCCCTGCCCTTGTCCCAAGTCCCTCCCCAGCTTTCCTGGAGCCCCTTCAGGCACTGGAAGGTGCTCTCAGGTCTCCCTGGAGCCTTCTCTTCTCCAGGCTGAACACCCCAACTCTCCCAGCCTGGCTCTAGGGCTCCAGGGCTGCTCCAGCCTCTGATCATCTCTGTGGCTCCTCTGGAGTTGCTCCAACAGCTCCATGTCCTTCCTGTGTTGGGAAACTGTATGTCTAACCTAAACTCACACAGCTCATATTTCAAACACATTCTACAGCCTAAAGGCCAGGGATTCACCACAGTATTTATGGGACATTTTGCATGATTATAACCTCATTGCATTGTGGTCATTGACAGGTAGCTAAAAAAACCCCAAAAAATAGGAAAAAAAGGGAAAGACCAAAGAATCCTGCCCCAAAAACAAGCAGTAAAACCTGTGTGATTGTTTCTGTCCATTTCCTCAGCTGTAGGCAAAGCAATATGTTTTGAGTGCAAACATGGTGGGGGAGGACAGGAACTGCTGCTTCACAAGGGAGATCCACAGTTTATGTTCCTGTGACTATTAGCTATGTGGGCTGGAAGGTTTGGACACAACATTTCTTGTTGAAAACCATCCCTAGGCAGAGTGGTGATGCTGAGCAGCAACACCTGCCTGCTGAGAAATAAATAACCAGAGCTGGTTTTGCCCCCAGCACAAGCTTCTTCTTTAGAAATGGAAACAAACCAGCAAAACCAAACCAGCCCTTCCTCAGGGAAGTGGCAGGATGAGCTCCTTCTATGCAATCTCTGTAGTTCCAAAGCTGTAATACACCCTGATATAATATACATCTTTTTTTTCCATCATGGAGCTGTTCAGTTTTCCCTTCCTCTTTTGCTCTAACCCTGTTCAAAGCAGTCCCTGGGGAAGATGACACTTCCATGGATGGATCAAATCCATCATGTCTCCTCATGGGTCTATCAGTTCAGCTGAGCCACACAGCCAGAAACATTTCTTCATGTGCACCAAAATAAATCATTTTCAACACTAATGTAAATACTGAGCTATGTCAGGTTTCCTGGAGACAATTAAGTAGCATTTGGAATGGAAAATATCATCCCCTGTCCTCCACTTGCCTGTGTCTGGATTTCACATTACAGTGACATGAACTTAAAAATAAAATATACCCACTTGGCTGCCCCAGGAGCTGAAGGTGAATGCTCAAAACCAGCATTATTGATTTCTAATCCATCACCAGCATCCCAAAGGAAAGCTGTGAATGTCTCAGTCACCTATAGCTTAAATTCTTTTGGGCACAGCTAGGTGCATCCAGCCTTACTTCCCACCCAACATGGCTCCAGAGGGCAGGGGAGCCCCCGTGGAACTTCTAGAAAGGAATATCATCATGGACCATGAAGAAGAATGTTAGCATGTCACTTAAAAATAGGCTTGGTAGATTGTCCTCCCTAAAGACCTATCAGAAAGTGGCATATTCAG